AAGTAATATTTTTATAACTCTTGGCTCTCCTTGTCTGGTGCCTGGAAGAATTTTCTGTGTCCCCCAGCCCCATTGCTTCTAACTGGAAATACTAGTTCTGTTAAAGGGTCTTTTTTCTGGAAGTCCTTCATATAAGCTTCTATTTACTAAATACAGCCAAAGCAGAAGAGTGCTGGGGAGAAGGCTGTGTCAAACAATACCACTTATGATATCCCGTGCATCTCTCTTAATTTCAGAACTTTGCCAGATACCCCTTCAACTGCTTTGCTTCTGTGGGCAGGAAAGAAACCTCCTGAATTACCTGGTTCAAACCTGTTGCTCCTGTGTAATTCCAGGCAACCATTTACCTACTTTTCAGTGTTTCAAGCACTGTCTGTTCCCCTGTCCCCCCGTGATACATGGTTAATTAAAAGCAGGGATGCCTTAGCCATTTATGTCACTGTTTCCTGGCAAGTGTTCATTAGTAGCCTGGCAAAGGTGGAGATGCTTTGGGGGGGACTGGAAGTAGTCTCTGGCAGTCTTTGCCTTTATGCTTTATTACCAAATAATATCTGCATGGCAAAACAGTCAACATTGCGAGCTGGGGGGAAGCAGCGGGTAATCCTCCTTAAACTTTCTGTCCCAATTATTGCCTTCTGTGAGCAAGTTCAGGACTATGTAACTGCTACTGAGCACACTCCCCTTTTGTCTTTTGCTATTGTAAACTACAATTCACAAAGTATTTGGACAAGGCAACAGCAGGATGAAAGAAGTGGATAATTTAGAACTTAAGAATTCTGTAATGGTTTGAGTTTTCTGTTCTTTGGTACCTTACTATAGGTTTGGATTTGAAAAAATGGGCACAGCAGTTCTCCAAACAGCCTCTACAGCCAACCTACTGAGCTACATATGGGACTGAATAGTACATATCACATTACAGTCTGAGAATTGATTACAGGAAATCTTTTTACTTCACTTGGGTTGACGACTTGTCAAGTAAGAATAGTTCTCTCTTACTTGTTGAAGAAATAACAAAGAACTTGAATTCTGTGTGTATAAGCCTGTCCTCTCAAGTCCAGCACTAACATGCAGAAAGACCAGTTGTATTGGTGAGGGAGGGATTCATTGTATGTGTTTGTAGAGGGCAGGGGATTATGGAGAACGGTGACTTGCATTAGTCATCAGAGGATGAAAAATGGCCAGATGCCATTGCAGATGGGCTACAGGGTGAACTGCTGAGGAGAAACGGTAGCAGTTATTGTAATTGAGCAAATGGCATTCCAAGGGCAGAGTCCTGTAGCGTACTGAGAGATAACCAGTAAATTTCCAGGCTCCTGAAGTTTACCCTTGTCCTTCCCTGAAATCTTGCAGAAACTATACCTTAACATACCTAGTTTCCCTTTGTTAATGAACAAGGTCTGTAGTGAACCTGCTGACCAGACTGGAATGTTCCCATTTCCTATCCAGCTGCAATATTAAAATGGGTTACATAAGGCTAGTTTTTCTGTAGTCTTGGCATCAGACTAGTTTTCAGATAAGGAGTTAGATGATCTAAATTCTTTTAACTGTTTTCTAAAATTTGAGCCTGGTTGTTAGGAGAGATTGTTCCTGGTAAGATTTCCCTGTGCATTTGTAAAATACTTGTGAACTGTAGACTGCTGCTTTCTGCTACTTGTCAGGTTTAAAAGTAGTTATAGAGGTGCTGAACACTGATACTAACCTCACTTTTTGGATGGAGTTGAGGACATATTTAAGCCTAGAGTGAGTCAATGAATACGTGAAGAGAAGGAAGGAGCTAAAACAAAGCAGCATTTAAAAGGCTGAGGGGCTAAGCCTGCAGGATCTTATACTCAACTGAATGGCATTTCTGCGACTGAAAAGAAGTATTTAAATGCTGCATCTGTTTAATTCCAAAATGTCAGGAAATGCTGTAGGAAGTACCGAGAAACCGGTCTAAAAATCAGAAGGGAAAATGCAGAGAGAGGAGGTAACAATCTCTGCTTTTGGAAGAGGTAGCAAATGAAACTTTCATAATGTTAGCAGATCTTTGGAAGAATTGCTTCTGGAAGGTAGCAGTTGAGGTGTTCCAAGCTTGTATCACTCCTTTGCACTGGAATAGCTGACGCACTGAAAAACAGAGATAGGCAAGGTGTAGGGAGGACAGTAGAGTGCAGAGACTCTGCCACAGGGGAGTGGAGTTGGGAGGGGTGAAGTAGAGGGAACGAAGTGCCCACAGTTCATGGGTAATGAGGACAACCAAGCAATTGGTAACAGGTGGAGCAGAGCATATGAGAGCACTGAGATTCCCAAGGCATGTGTAAAATGCTCTACAGAGCATATTTGTATTACCCAGATATGTCCCTGACTTTCCCAAACTAGTATGGGGACCAATGGTCCCTATTTGCCAGAACAAAGAAACTGTAATCCTTATTTTGGGATGTCTTTAACAGCTTCACTATTGGAGAAATCATTCTGTTTTCAATCACAGTAAGAAGGCAGGGCAGACCGCCTGCTTATCTTTAAGGAAGTCAAAACCAGAGCACAAAAACAAGAGTTATTGTCCAAGTGTAGAAATAATCTCTTTGAGCTGGAGGCTGCAGTTCCATGAGACAATATGCTAGTGTCCCACTGCCTTTGAAAAAGCAAGGTTTTGATCTTCACAGTGTTCTTCCACTGCGCACCTTACACAGGCTGGAGCGCTTACTGATCTCAGTATGTTCAGAGTAAACTGAAGACTGTTCAAATTACTGTCTTTGTAGAAAAACAAACCATGAGCCCAAAACAAGGTGTAGCTTTTCACTAGGAGTTAAATCAGCTTTGCAATAAGCCCAGTAAGCAGTGATGAATGTTTACTAAAGCAGTGCTATACATTGCAGTGCTATTCAGAATAATGAAAGGCTTACTGAAATACAGCACATTTTCAGATGCAGTAAGCACATGCAGCACTGTTACTGTGGCAAGCCTCAATAATCGAGTAGTGTCAACAGTTCACAGGCTCCTACCTTCTCATTTTGGAGTCCTTCTGCCAGTACCTGTGAATAACTGTAGAGCCAAATATAATTCTAGGCATAAGATGACTTCATGGAAATTTGAGTTAGTATGAATTTGATTTAAGCTTTGAAAGTGATAAATTTCCACTGTGACTGGAAACGCTTCACAAACTAAACTCTTCTGCACTATGTAGCGTGAAAATGAAGTAAAACTTTTATTAGGAATCTAAACTGCAATTAGTGTTTCCTTGCTGGCTTACGAAATTTAAAGCGATGCTACTTTTCCAACCCAGTGTTGTCCTTCAATATCAAAGCATGAACTCCAGTACTGTGCAACTAGGTCAATTAGGTGGTTTTTACACACACACACCCCCCACCCCCACCCCCCCGCCATCATTCAGAGCCATGTTTGCCTCTTTGCCTGTAAGTAGAGGTAGCTGTGTAGCTATGGTAAGCCCATTTGGAGAGAATTTGAGAGCCTCATGAATAACAACTTTTTTTGATTTTGTGGCAAAGCCTCTTTACTTTTTGCTGTGTGGCATACGTGCTTTGGCAAGAGTGCTCATAAACTGGAGGAACTGATCTTGAATTCTCTAGCTTGCATGCAGCATTTCTAATTCTAGTTGTCTGCCTCAACTAAGCAGAATCACAGAAGGCTTTGGGTTGGAAGGGACCTCTAAAGGTCATCTAGTCCAACCCCCCTGCTGTGGGCAGGGACATCTTCAACTACATCAGGTTGCTCAGAGCCCTGTCCAACCTGACCTTGAATGTTTCCAGGGATGGGGCATCTACAGTCTCTCTGGGCAACCTGCGCCAGTGTCTCACCACCCTCATCATAAAAAAATTATTCCATATATATAGTGTGAATCTCCCCTCTTTTACTTTAAAACCATTAAAAAGTCTGTCCCCATCTTTCTTAGAAGCCCTCTTTAAGTATTTAAAGGCCGCAAGGTCTTCCCGAAGCCACCTCCTCTCCAGGCTGAACAACCCTAACTCTCCCAGCATTCCCTCATAGGAGAGGTGTTCCATCCCCCTGATCATTTTCGTGGCCCTCTTCTGGAGCCGCTCCAACAGGTCCGTGTCTTTCCTGTGCTGAGGAGCCCAGAGCTGGACACAGTACTCCAGATGGGGTCTCACCAGAGCAGAGTAGAGAGGGAGAATCACCTCCCTCGACCTGCTGGCCCCACTGCTTGTGATGCAGCCAGGATACAGTTGGCTTTCTGGGCTGCGAGCGCACATTGCTGGCTCGTGTCCCGCTTTTCCTCCACCAGTACCCCCCAGTCCTTCTCGGCCCCCCAGCCTGTATGGGTACCAGGGCTTGCCCCAGCCCAGGTGCAGGACCTTGCACTTGGCCTTGTTAAACCTCATGAGGTTCACACAGGCCCACTTCTCAAGCTTGTCCAGGTCCCTCTGGATGGTATCCCATCCCTCAGGTGTGTCAGCTGCACCACTTCGCTGTATAGTAAAGCTGTTCTTTCACATACTTGGTTCTGTAATGTCCTTACGATATCTACAGAATTTTTACTTGCAAAGGACTTGTATATTTATATAACTACCTGTAACACAACTACTGCTTTTTTTTTTTTAAGGCCTGCTTATGCAAATGTTTTAATCTGAACTCCTTACCAATTATTTCTCTCTCTGCAGTAACCCACGTACAAATTATACCTTCCAGTTCTCCAGCTCTCTGGTCTCCTATTTGTATCGTTCTTTCTCCTAGGTGCGCTTTCCTTACATGCTATGCTTTTGTCACCTAGGTCCTGCTTTCCAAAGCCCATGGTATTCACTCCTCCACTGATAGTCTGTGGGCAGGCATAGCTCTTCTCCTGATGAGATCTAGTAGCTCTAAAGCTATTGGGTTTGGAACCTACAGATGGCTCTGTTTCTTCCTTCTATCATCATCCACATACTAAAGGCTAAGAAGCTGTACAGTGTCTAGTAAATAATATAAGCAGCTGTATAGTGTCTAGTAAATGTGATGTATAACTTTCTGGCCAAAATTAAGGTAAAGAAATGACAGCACTGCCTGTTTGTGACAGGAATTTTTATTGTACTTGTTTGTTAATTGAGAAAGTGGAACATATTAGCTCAATTCAACATGATCAGCATCTTGCTCCTGCTTAGGATAAGCTAGCAAATCCAGTGTTCCCAATACTAATTTAATGTTTTTATTTTTCTTAAACTAACACCTCAAAACAGAATAAATGCGTATTCTTCCTTTCATGTTTTAGTAGCCCAACTAGTTTGCTTTATTATTTAATCAGTGTCATCAAATGTATCCCCCAAAGGAGTGAGGCTCTGGGAATTCAGCCATGAGGAAAAAAAATGCACAAAACCAACAAAACTTTTTTTGATAATTTAACAGTCTAATAAAACAAGACCTATCAATATATTAAGAAATAAATCCAGTTACAAATGCATGTATATAGAAGGAACTTCTGTGGATGTCAGAACAGAAAATGATAAGCTATTTACAAGATACACAGCAGGATGGTATAGTAGCCAAGACCCACCATTCAGAAGCCAAATGTGTTCTCTCCACTGTAGGCAACATACAAGAAGCCATCCTCATCCTTTTCCTTCTCATAAAGTTGTCCCATAGTTAAGCTTGAAGGGGAAAAAAAGAGAAATGGTTTGCTCGGATCATGACAGTTGCAAATGGTAACAGTTAGAACCTCACATAAACAAGGATTAATAACAGCTAAAACCTGCTAATTAAAATACAAAAATGAGGATATATGAAAAGCAGTTGACTCCTGAGTAGCAAAATGACCTGGGCTCTCTGCAGAGTGTCTAGGTTTTTGTTACTTCTTCACAAATGCATTTGTCAGAATGCTTCCTTATTTTATTGGAAATGAGTCACTGAATGTATTTCAGGTTCCGAATCATCCATTATTGATGCCGTGACTAATCCCAGGATCAATAGCCTGATAGCACCTTCCTGCATGGAAGCACCTTTAATGCTGCATTAAAGTCTTGCTTCTTGTGTGAGCAACCTCATTTTCTCCTTCCACCTGGTGTAGTCACGAATGTTCAGCTGGTCTCAAGTCCATCAAACTTGGGCTTTTTGGACTGTTTCTTTGAGGTCCAGGTTGTTTTGGGGAGTAAAAGCTTTGTTTTCTATATTGTTAAAAAGTGATGACTTAAAATAGTGCTAGTATCAAAATGCGTGGGCAATAAATTACAAGTTAGCCAGAAACCAGGGCTTTTTTAGTGGATAAGGTTTTGAATGTTTGCTCAAATTAAAATTTTCTTAAACTGAATAGGCATGTAGCCCTTCACAGTCTAAGCAGCTGTGGTCTTTAGGGCAGTGTCTGTATTTTGAAAACAAAAAGAAACCCAAGCAATTACTTGGCCAGTACAACTGCTCCAACCATCTGTCTACAGATGAAGCAGGTGGTTGATATCAGTCAGCTGCACAAATGACGCCTCCTCAGCTCACCTTTGTCTGACTTCCCAAGACTGAGAAAAGGCTAGTAAACTGAAAGATGCAGACTGAATGTGAGTGATAGGGAAAACGATCATGGCTTTTTACCCAAGAGAGGAGCTGGGAAGAGTTGCAGGCAGTATTTGAAATGGAAGGGAATTGGTGAGTAGTAGATAAACTTCTGGATGAGGAGAGAAGGATGTCAAGTTAACGGTCTATGTAATAAACTCAGCCTACAAGAGGAGCAGAGCCATTAACAGATTAAATTTTTGTTTATCTGTTAACAAGTTACTATTTTTGCATTAATATTGAAGGTTCAAGGCCCTATCTTTCCAGCAGAGATGTGACATCTCATCATGAACATGTGAGATGAGACAATGTGCCCTTTTTTTTCTCTCCTGTTCCTAGCAGTTCTACAGCACTGTTAAGAAGATGACATATAGGCATTCCTAATACTCTTAGAAGAAAGCAAGCAGAAAAAGATGGTTCTCACAGGTCCCTATTGTGTATCACAAAGTAAATAAAAATATTCCTGACTGAGTCTGCACAGGTTACCTGGAAGGACTGTTACTGTTACACAATATTATTCTTATTAATCCCTACCTGTATCTAAGCCACGTAACATCATGACGTACTATTTCCTCAAATACTATTGAAGTATAGAAAGCAGTTGTAGTAGCTGCTTCTGCTATACATTATTCTGTATGTAGCAGACAACAATGAAACTTATTCCTATATAAAAGCAATGTGAAAAACCTTTCTATAGTAATTTTGCATTTTGTGTTTATAGAAGAAAATAAGTAATTTTTAAAACAAGTAACAGTAACTAGTCTGTAATGTCATAATTTCTTTGTGAGCTGACAAGTTAATGTTTTTTCAGAATAATTTATGGTGTTTGCTTTTGAGTATTTAACATGCAACTTTTTTTGTTACATTGAGAATGATTGTTTTTTTGGCATTGATGATGTAAATGTTCTTGCACTCAACCACAGATGATATAATAAGTCCAGAGCTCACCCTCTTGCCATGGAAGTAAATCATAATATATTTTTCAGTCACCTTTCCCTTCTGCTTAGCTCAAGATGTTTATCAAACTTCTGAGAAAAAAACCTCTCATGGTGAGATTAAGATGTAACCAAACACCTCCTAAAATCACCAAATAACCCTTAAAGAGGGGAGTTATGGTCCTTCTGATACGCACAGGCTTGCTGAAATGGTTGTGAATAGCCTCTCACCTGGATTGTGGGACAGTCTTGTCTACAAAGAGGAATATTGCTTTCTCAGATGGCAGCTGAATCCTCTTCCTGATGATCCACATGAACTGGGCCACGGTGATGTCAGATGGAACTAAGTACTTCCTCTTGTCAATATCAACAATCTGAGATCCTGAGACCTTCTCCACTATGACCTGTAAAGCGCAGGTGTGAAGGTCAGGCTTTTCGGGATTGTTATGAACAGACAGCTTTGGTAAATTGTTTGCTGGTACAGGCTTACAACAGTGAGCAGAGGGGAGGAACAAAAAGTTTTCTTGACTGCAACCAAATGAGAGTTAGGACTGGCTCAGCGCTGTAAAACCTGATTTTACAACTGCACTGAAACCTACATTCATACACACAATGGCTCAAAACTTCTATGCCTGCGGTTGACAGACATGAGGTAGAAAGATGCAATATGCCTATAAGAAACCTGTGACAGGAAAGTATATGCATCTTTTAACTTTCTGTACACCGATGATAGGAAGTTACTGTCATGTGGACCCCGAGTTGAACATGAGCCAGCAGTGTGCCCTGGCAGCAAAGGCGGCTAATGGTACCCTGGATTGCATTAGGGAAAGCGTTGCCAGCAGGTCCAGGGAGGTGATCCTTCGCCTCTGCTGGCACTGGTGAGGCCACACCTGGAGTGCTGTGTCCAGTTCTGGGCTCCTCAGTACAAGAGAGACGTGGACGTATGGGAGAGAGTCCAACAAAGGGCCTCGAAGATGTTTAAGGGATTGGAGCATCTCTCATATGAGGAAAGGCTGGGAGAGCTGGGACTGTTCAGCCTGGAGAAGAGAAGGCTCAGGGGGATCTTACCAATGTGTATAAATACCTGAAGGGAGGGTGCAAAGAAGATGGAGCCAGGCTGTTTTCAGTGGTGCCCAGTGACAGGACCAGAGGCAGCGGGCACAAATGGAAACACAGGGGGTTCCCTCTGAACATCAGGAAACACTTTTTCACTGTGTGGGTGACAGAGCACTGGCAGAGGTTGCCCAGGGAGGTTGTGGAGTCTCCCACCTTGGTGATACTCAAAAGCCATCTGGGCGCGGTCCTGGGCAGCTGGCTGTAGGTGGCCCTGCTTGAGCAGGGAGGGGTTGGACCAGATGACCTCTGGAGGTCCCTTCCCACCTCAACCATTCTGTGATTCTGTGATTTATTCATACCAGGACAGTAACGTCCTATTGTGTTTAAATATGGCCAATTTTCAAAGTGTTCTGAAGTTCCCCATGTGCACCATCCAAAAATAGTGTACTCTCCAAAAGCTTGGGGGGCAGGGGCAAGAAAGGAATTGGCATCTACTGAGACATTTGAAGCACAGGCAGCTTGAAAACTTCAGGTTTAGGAGTGGCTTGTCTCCACTACTTCCCTTAAACTAACTGGTGATTGAAGGAAGGAGTCCAGGCCTTCTGTCTTCTCACTTACTCCAGTTGATAATAACAAATTGAGGAATCCATTTAACCATATTCCTTCCTTGCCCCATTCAGCTGTAGTGAAGTAATGAGAAATTCAACTAGACTACAGAGCTGGTACCTGAGCAACAGCAGGTGATCTGAGGAAGTCCATTCCCTTTGTACAGATGCTGCTTATTTTGTTTTTGTCACTATCACAACATAAAAAGAAAGTAGAATAGAACAGAATAATTCAGTTGGAAGGGACCTACAATGATCATATAGTTCAACTGCCTGACCAACTCAGGGCTGACCAAAAATTAAAGCATGCTATTAAGGACATTGACCAAATGCCTCTTAAACACTGACAGGCTTGGGGCATCAACCACCTCTCTAGGAAGCCTGTTGCAGGGTTTGACCACCCTCTCAGTAAAGAAATGCTTCCTCATGTCCAGTCTAAACCTCCCTGGTGCAGCTTTGAACCCTTCCCAGGCATCCTGTCCCTGGATCCCAGGGAGAAGAGATCAGCACCTCCCTCTCCACGTCCCCTCCTCAGGAAGCTGTAGGGAGCGATGAGGTTGCCCCCCAGTCTCCTTTTCTCCAAACAAGACAACCCCAGAGTCCTCAGCTGCTCCTCATAGGACGTGCAAGTGTGACCATCATTGCTTGAAATCTTTTGTTACACAGAATTCTAGTTTGCAACAAGCATGCCCTATCCGCTTTTAAATTGTCATATGACTAAATAAAATCCCACAATACAGAGAAATACAGGTTTGATACACACACCACCTCCACCCTTCCAACTTAACTGTCGTCTTTAAACAATGTCCCAAGTTGCTCCTAACAGACAGAACCAACTGCCTTGATATGGCGTATAACAAAAGAAAAAAAAAATTAGAAATAATACTTCCCCCCCCCCGTGAAGTCTTTTGTATTCATCTGTGCAGCATACTGTACCATTACACAACACATAAGAGTATGTCAGAAACTGTCATGCTAAGTAGAGGCACATGCATTCTTTAGGTAACTCAGTGCAGAGTTGAAAAAGCCATGTTATATCTGAATACAGTCAAAACTCTGATAGAGTTGCAGTGTGAACTGTGGTATAATGCAAGGTTCTAGTTGGCCACAGACCACATATTCCTTTTTTTACAGTGCTTTGCAGTACTGCTTTTGATTTGACATCCATACTCTCTGCATTTCTATAATTAATCCAGCAATGATGACTGACTTCCCACAGCTAGCCACCAAGCATTTCAGCCAGGCTCAACAATGCCTCAAGGAAGAGAAATGGAAGCATGGCTGCAGTATGCTCTAGCATACCAGTTGGCCTGCCAAGGATGCCAGCTGAGCACTCCACCAAATCACCAGAAAGGTGCTGTGATGTGATCTTGTCTGCGTGCCTCTGCTGTACCAGACTTATACTGCCAGATAATCCAGCAATGTATGCATCTGATGTTAAAAACTATATGATTACAGCTTCAGTTGATTGGATGAAGTTACAGGATGACAGTGAAGCCATACTAATAAAGTGTGGGTTTTAGCTATATATGAATGAGAGCTAGATGGGATATGTAGACTGTAAGGAAAAAAATATCGGATAAATAAAAAATATAATCATTATTTTTTGCTGCTAGGCCACCATAAGAACTTGGCTATTCTCTGCCTACACCAGGAGTGTTTGGTAAAAGAAAGCGGGTAGGAACCCGAGCAGAGATACCTAGATAAGATGATGTTTGCAGCATCAACAGGCTTTTGTTTGCAACTTTGAAAAAAGACTGCCTATGTTAATTACTATTTTAGGATGTCTGTAGACTCAGGTCTGCAATAACACACCGATTTTATCACTGGGAACCAGAATTTTTTTTTAACGTGTTATTCTGAATATAGCTGCACTCTAAGGCATATTGTTTGTTCCACCGTGTTATTGTTGTCAAGGTACAACTCACTGATGCTATTCTTTGCTTTGTATTATGCTGAACTGACATTAGAGTATCTTACTTCACATGTTAGGAAATTAGAAATTGACTACAGGAAGGAAAGGTGGCAAGATGGCCACAAACAAAACCAAACAAAAAGCAACAGGTACAGGAGGAAGAGAACTAAGTATTACTTGTGGAAAGGACCTGACGCTCATTGCTCCACACAGGCTAGTTCTTGAAGGAAAAAATGCAGCACGTGGGGAAATAAGGCTTACAAGAGGTCCCAGTGTCTCCGTTCCTTAGCTCTGCATTCCCCATTGCTACAGCATACAGGTAATACTCAAGTAAATTTACAAAATATGCTGTCTTATGATCTGGAGAGGGTTCTCCTTGTAATTTCTTCAGCTGTGCCTACAGAAGCAGAAGGAGGGCATAGTAGCTGCCCCTTGCAATTTAGTATGAGGCAACTGTAAAGAGGACCAAGAACAGCCTGAAAGGAATACTGAAGCCTTAACAAGTGATACTTTTTTTTTTTTTTAAATTACAATAACACACTAGACATTTTAGCTTCATAATGCAGAAACTGTCATAACTGGAAGTCAAGGCTGTTGGTGAACTGCTTCTAGTAAAACTTATAGATACCTTTAACCCTTAGACCACTTGATTCCCCAGGCAAATTTAAAATTGCAGTGCTTAGCAAGCATAATTTATTTCACCTCCCATTTTCTTCCTAAAAGGTCTAGCCTAGGACAGAGGCAGGCTGTTGGTATATTATCTTAATGGGTTTGAACCACTGAAACATCTCTAAATCCAGGTAGATAGATACAGCAGCTGAGAATTGAAGTCACTTTGACCTATGTCCCTCTGGATGCAGGCTATAACCTGGAAAGCAGGAAACATACATTAAGTCTGAAAAACACTTTTGACTATTAAATGCCAAAAATGTATTTGATACCAATTATTTCGTGAAAGGTACATGGCTCAATCTGAATCATCAGGCAGAAAACATATCAGCCCAGACAAAGCATCACACTGCAATTTGAGATTTAATTCCTGTATCCATCCACACTTTGCTGTCCATTCCTGATACGGCATCACGTAATTCTGACTCACACTACGAGTTTCAATGTCTCTTTTTCCCCTAGGGTTATGAAAGGTATTCTTGAAGTGGACAAATGGGTATCTGTGGAGACATATGGTCGTTAGCATGCTACAGTCTATATAGGAGGGGGTAGTTAGCCAGGCAGAGAATGGCAAGGATCAGATCAGCTTGCCAGACTGCAACTGGAGAAGATGCTGTGACTAGGTGCAACTCAGGAGCAGAGAGAGTCAGTGGGATTAGAGGTTCTTCTCTGGGCTGCACTGTCCAATGGGTAAGTTAAGTTCTTTACCAAGAGGTCAGACGGGAGTGGCACTAACTAGCATGTGGTCAGATGGGATGTGGGAAATTTTACGCACAAGCAGGTTAAGTTGAGAATGCAGACATGTTGCTAGCTGTTACATAAGGATGTGAAGTGTGGTCTGAAACTGACTGAAACATGATAAAAGGGATTGCGGAGTGAAAAAGAGAGGTCATTTGCTATTTAGCAGGTAGGTAGGTATTAATGCAGAAAGGAGGGGTCACCACTTGCACTGGCTCTTGAAACAACAGGGTTTGCATGGGGAGATTCACCATGGTAAGAGCAGTTATAGACATGGAATACATGAGGGAAAATCACCTTCCTCATATAGCCAGGATGAAAGATTGTCAAGGTTTAAAGAATTCATGATCTTTCTTGGGATCAGGCACAGAATGAATCCTCAAGGCACTGAAGGTATATGCTGGGATATAATTGCCATTAGAAGAAACCAGGACACTGATAAGCCATAAACATGCCTGGAAAGTGTTTAGAAAGTCAAACACTGTTGCTTACTTGTCAATAGGCACTGGGGCAGAGGAGGGAATGTTGGATTAGTTAGATGTGTTTGGGGTCTCTTTAAAACATGTAAGGACACAAAAGGGAAGATGAATTTACTTAGTAGGATCTGATCAAAGAAGAGAGAGCAGGATGGAAACAGCTTATCCACCTTTGCCTCTAAGTACTCAGATGAAGCTGGCTTGGTTACTCACCGGGACACGGTCAGGGTATTTGGCTCGGATTTTTGCCGACTCGACACATCTGTGCTCTGTGAACAAAACTCGTAATTAGTCATTGCGTAGTAATAGCATCGCCAGTGTCCTCGGCAGAGAGGGCAGTGTCCGCAGGGACGGGAGCCCGCGGGGGTCGCGACCGTCCTGCCCATGCCGAGGGGGTCTCCAGCTGTTCAGGGAGGCCGTCCCCGGGCACCGCGCCGCGCTTCGACGAGGGCCGCAGGCGGCTGTCCGCCCAGAGACAAGACGACCGGCTCCGGGAGCCGACCAGGGCACACGGACCCGGGAGGCCCCGGAGCA